CTTCTGTGCTCTACAACAGCTGTCTCCCCCTCTTTACTCTTCCTCTGCTCTGGTGAAAGGGGCAACCAATGACTTCTCCATAGCTTAAGAAAATGTTTCTCTAGCGGCTAGAAGAGATTTGGGGCTATATCATGGTCCTCACCCAAAATATCATACATTCTGCTGTTGTGTAGAACAAACCCTGGCATTCCTACTTTCAATGCCCCTTTCCTGGCTTGCTTGCATCTTAGTCCCTAGTAAATTATGGTATTACAGGGTGATATAGGGAATCTCCTGATTGCTTCATTCTATTGTTCATTGCAGGACCTTCATTTAGTTTTACACCAATAGCAACTCATGATCAGAATATACCAGTCTTTTCCCTTGGCAGCATTCCTGTCCTGTCCTCTGAGTTGATGTCTTTTTGATGACTGTCAATAAAGTGAGGTCCAACCAAGTTCTGTATTTATATTGGCCTCCAGCCAAAAGTGTAACTTATTGCAACCGAATTTCCTGTGACACCCACAAGTCGATCTGTTGCATGCAGTGATGCACTAACACTTTCTGCTGTGTGGTTCAGGGATTAAAAAAATGACACCTGTCCCTACCCTACTCACTAAAGGATAAGGGGTTAAAAACTTGCCTACACAGCTTGTAGACTGTTTAGGATACTGATACTGTATTTGTCAGACAGACAAATCTTTAAGAATATACACAAACATGCACTGGACAATGTGTGCAAGTAACTCGAAAAGCAACTGTCAGACTAAAAAAATTATGCAATGTGACTAAACAAGACTGAAAACAGAATTCCTTTCTTTCAACTGCTGCCATTAGAGAGGGAGGGCCTTGAATCCAACCCATATGCTAACAGAGTATGTCTCTGACTGTGCAGTATCCATGAGTAGCCAACACAGAAAAAACAAAGAAGAATTACAGAAGCCAATTCTTAAACAAGTATAAACTGCCTAATGTTCTTTTGAATTACGTGAAAGAGAAGATAACTGACTAATGCTCCTGTACATTATAAAAAAAGCCAGTCTCCAGTCATACAATCCATATCCTGTCCTCAGTGCTTTAAATTACTCTTTTGTGGCTGGGTTGTGTTTCACTAAAGTTCTCAAAAGAATAGATGTGCACCTCCCATTACTCACAGATGGAGATGCACGTCCAACTCCAGAGTCACTGGGCAAGGAATGTGCATCTTTACAAGAACAACTATATAAAGTGACTAATATTTTGGGAGGACAAAAGGTTCAAGTAAATTGGAGATGAATAACTACTGCATGTAGTAGCTTTTTATTCCTGTAAAACAAATGAACCAGAATTCCTCAAAACAAAGCAATAGGGATGTGAGTGTGTGTGTGGAGGGGGGGGTATGTGTGTGTGCGCGCGTGCACAAGCTCTGATTAATCTCATCAATTTGCTTTCCTGGAAACTGGATGGCCCAGATGTCGTTGTTGCCATTATAAAAAATGTGTTCATCTGCTCTGGTTTCTGCTTGATTTTCTGCTTGTTTTGTTTAAGTGATTTATTTTTTTAATGAACGTTCTTAGCCAAAATGCTAAATTAAAGTCAGGGAATCATCTTCTTCTAAGCCAGACTCTCTTTCATATTTAAAAAAACCTGTGTGGCCTATAGTAATCCCGAGTAGCACTATAAATAATTACTGAATTATTAATAGCTGCTGTGCACATCAAATACGAATTTCAAAAGGGGCTTTTTGTTATCTCAAATGCTACTAGTTTGGCATGAGAGCAGAGACGATACAACACAAACACACCCTGTGAATTAAAACTGTTCTGATCTTCTCCTCTTCAAAAGGTAATCTTATAATTCCTGAGCAAAATAAAGCCACTCCATTCATTCATCTCAAGCAACATGTTGAAATTAATAAAACCTGTTTTATTTTGGATCATATTTCATAATGTTCCTGCATTTATTTGAAACTTTAAAGCACCTATTACCATTGCATCTCAGTGTTAATTCAACTAGCATCATTTACTGACCATACATGAAGTGACAGAGTATTTATCGTAAGCTTTGGAAAAGTCAGTTATATTTTTAATGCTCCAGAGGATGTAAATATGAATCACTACATTTAAAATAGACAGTATTATAGAAAAATAATATTCTGCTATAGGCAACCCCCCCACAAACATGAGGATTTTTTCATCTCAAAAGTGAATATATAGTAAAAGTGTTCTCACGAAAGGTGTGCAGATTTACAAAGAGAACACATGTGCACACACAAAAGGTGATCTACAAAGGGTGTGTATCTGTGATCCCATGCTCTATTCTCATTCTCTGAGTCTATGGACAGAAAAGGAGATATAAAAGGATGAAAAAAAAAAAAAACTTCCATCAGAATCACCAACCCAGAAAGGCAAAATTGACAGGGAGACACCAAGACAGCTTTGCTCAGCTGCTTCCACATTTCAGAAGTGGAATGAATTAGAGAAGTCTCGCTATTATTAGTCCTTCCGATCAGATGCAGGCTGCATGTGGAACTGTTTTAAACATTGGCAAGATGCTTTGTAGCTTACACACACATACAGGTATTGCATTCCGAGAATTCCCCATTAAAAAGACAATACACAGACACACACAGAGACCACAACAACAGCATGACTGTGAGTACTCACAGCTCTGAGTACAGGAAGTGCAGATTGCCCACATTGTCTATGTAGTTTGCAGGACTTAGCCAAGGTAGGACCAATAACAGAAGAGCCTTCATTTTCAGCTGGCACTGCTGGCACTGCTGCTAGGTTTCCTCCTTCCCACTTTTTCCTCTGCCTGCTGATGGGACACAGAACTTGGAGCTTTTATGTCAGCCAAACCCTTTCTAAGCAAGCCTTTCCATTTCAGTGCAATTGGTAGCACGTTATGAATCAAATTTAAATCCCTTAAACGAAGCTATGCTGAAAAATCATTGACCTGTAAGAGGATTACTTGAGCTGATTCTCAGATGGGTAGATGTGAGGGTTTAGGGACAGCACAGCATGGTTGGCAAGACAGTGACTTATGCTGCATAGCAGGCTGATGCACAGGAAAGAGACCTGCCTCCTGCAGTATCCAGAGTGGCTCTTCAGAAGCAGCTGGTACATTTACATCACTGGCCAGAAGCAGATGGGTTATGAACTAAACTGCATCACAGAAGAGTGTAGTAGGCTCAACATGGCAAATGAAGCCCCCTCCCTCCCCCAACTCCCGCAGTGCCAAAGCATGCAATGGAGGATGACTACATCTTTTAAAAGTAAAACACCACAAAGAAGCTTATCTGATTGGCTATTGATTCCAGTTCAGTCTAATTGCTCAGTATTCAGCTAGATGCTTTTGTGCAAAGGTGATTTAAATGTGAACCCAGGATATATTGCTCTCTTTTAGAAGTAATGCGAATGACTAATTTTAAGTGAGAGTGTTTCCAGTGCATGCTTGTGCCAATTCCAGGTATAAGCAATTAAATTTCTCTTAGCACAAGCATAAATATACAGGATATTCATCTTGTCCCGTCAGTGAGCTCATCTCTGTAAATGGGGAGCTTTCATTTTCTCCTAGAGAAAAAGAAGGGGCTGGAGACTGATTTATGAAAGAATGTAGCAGTTGCCGGGTACACCAATGACTCTAATAGAATCCACTTTGATTTATTCACTGAGAACTAGTCACATTTAGCTGAGATTTCAGCCTGAGTTGAGCTGCTCCCTCCAGGAGCATCAGACTATTTTATTAACAGAGTCACATGCCTTCTCCTTCCCTATTGTTTTGCTTGTATTAAACAGAACACAGTCGTTTCAAACTGCATTGTGCTTAGACAGGACAAATTCCTAACTTGAAGAACATGCAGCCCTTCTTGTCTCCTGTACTATTATGAATTGGAATTCAGACTGCAAGTGGGGTTTCGGGGCTGAAGTCGTCAAAAGCATAAAAATGGTAGTGATAATTACCAAATGCTTGTATTTAAACATAAATACAGGGTTGGAACTCCCAGGGTAGGTCATTCTGGTGTAGGGGCAAGGAAATTCAGCTGGAGTAGCCCCTGTCTGCAGTGTGGTGGGCTGGGGCCAGCCTGGCCAAAGCAGCTTGTGGTGTGGCGGACCTGGCCAAGCTAGAGCAGCCCGCTGACTCTGCCACAGGTGGGGGGTTTCTCCAGCCAGGTCCACTGCCCTCTGGGTGGGGAGCTGCTCCAGCCTGACCAGACCCCCTACCCGCAGGATCCCAGTTAATCGGTTAACTGGAATGTTAAACATTTTGCTTAACCAGTTAACTTTTTAACCAGGATTTTATGCCTCTACAAGGAACAACCACTTGTAAGTTGGGGGCCTACATTTTTCAAAATCTGGGCCTAAGTTTTAAGATGTCTTTCAGTTTTGATCATACTACATTGACCAGATCCATGGGTGACATAGAGCAGATTAGCATCTTTGCATTTCACAGAAAAAGGGACATTTTTTCAAAAATAACTTTGGCATTTTCGAAAATGCCAGTGCTACTGACTTTCAATGGGATTTAGGCTTCAAAATAATTAAGCCACTTTTGAAACTGGGCCTGCAGTTCTTTTCAAAATTGTATCTGATACATTTTCGTGTGTGTCTGTTTCTGTGAAGAGAGAGAGCCATTTATACCCCTGATAGCAACTACAACATATTTAAGATATCCCAGGTCCCAAAAATCTCTAAGCTCACTTTGGATTCTGAAATTGTACAGTTAAAGTGTGTAATTTACCATAGAGATATCCTCTCTGATCACAGCCCTAGGATACTGCCCAGGAGAACCTGATATAGCTGAGTGAGTTTGTTGTAGAGAAGAGAATAAGATATATTCAAATGAATGGTAAAAATTTAGCCTTAACTTCTTTGAATACAATGAATTTAAATCAGGGCTGAATTTGAAAAATCTGTGTTAACATTAACTGTCCATAACAAGCAGAGTGTATTCAACTCCAGTCCAGTTATTGATGGTTTCAATCCCTTCTCAGATAGACAAATAAGCAAGCAAGCAAAAAACAGAAAGGTGAGACTTACCTAGTTTGGAAATGCTGTTCAAGGTCACAACGTTGCAAAACCTCTGAGCAGTGGTCTGTGAAGGGGCAGCTAACCATTAGCTTATCCAGGAGTTTGTTTACTAGTATGCTGGACTTTCTGCAAGACTGTAGAATCACCATTTTGCGATCCACAGGGCAGAAGTCTTTTTCCACTAGAAAGTTTGTAAGGCAGACTGTGCAGTAGGTATGACCACAGGGAGTGTCCAGTGGCTGGATCAAAGCTTGCAGGCAGATGTGGCATATTAGATCATCATCCATTTCTTCCGTGTAGCTGTACAGGTGGTTCTCTTCTGGTAAGTGTGATTGGCCACAGGTGATACATAAGGGATGACGATTGTCCTCAACTTCTACTGACAAATCTCTTTGACTCATGATGAGATATGATATGATACAAAACAGAGCAAATAAAACTGCTCTCTATTTGGGAGAATATCAGAAAATTCAGTGA